CCAGACAGACTTAGAGACAGAGAGAGGACAGGAGAGCAATGAAAACCAGAGAGAGACCAGAAAGAGATAGGGAAAGACCAGGAGGGACCAGAGAGGAGACCAGAGAGAGACCAGAGAGAGAGAGTACCCGGGATAAGACCAGGGAGAGACCGAGAGAGACCAGAGAGAGACCAGAGAGGGACCAGGGAGGTATAAGACCAGGGAGAGACAGAGAGAGGACCAGAGAGAGACCAGAGAGAGGACCAGGTAAAGACCAGGGACGAGGACCAGAGATGAGCCAGAGAGAGACCATGGAAAGTCCAAGGGAGAGACCAGAGAGAGACCAGAGAGAGTGACTAGAGTCTTGGTCCTGTTCTCTGACCCTCTCTCAGTGTCGGAGCAGGAATGGCCAGACGCAAGTTTAATTGTGTAGCACAGTCCTACAGAAGCAACTCAAACCAAACAAGAACATTAAAATCACAAAGGAATAGGAATCATAACAAACCAGAGAGAGGACCAGGACTCTCCTGGTCCCGGGTTGGTGGTGTTCTCACCAACTCGCTCTAGCCGTCTCCTGGGTACTTTTTTCGTTATGGCTCGGCCCAGGTTATCAACAGAGTCAATATCAACACAATCGCATCCCACAAACACCTAATACTGAGCATGTGTTTTGTTTTGTGGGTAGTGCCAAGTCCAGCCAGCCCTAGTCCTGTCCAGCCAGTTCAAGTCCTGCCCAGCCCGCGCAGGTCCTGTCCTGCCCAGCCAAGTCCAGCCAGTCTAGTCCAGTCAGTCAAGCCAGGTCCACGGTTCCACTGCATATTGTCATGATACAAGTGATTGTACATATTTCAATAAATGAACATATTGTGAGTAACAAGTTCAGGATCCACTGTGAGTCTGAGGGACTGTTCCACACTGAACCCGAGGGCATGAAGAGGACTTCTTGAGTCTGAGACTGTTTCTAACTCTGAGCCCATGAAGCGACTTTCTGAGTCTCGAGACTGTTCAACCTCTGAGGACATGACGGCGACTTCTCTGAGTTGAGAATGTTCCCAACTCTGAGACCATGGAAGCGACTTCTCTGAGTCTGAGGGACTGTTCTAACTCTGAGAACCATGAAGCGACTTCTCTGAGTCTGAGACAGTCCAACTCTGAGGACCATGAAGCGACTTCTCTGAGTCTGAGACTGTTCTAACTCTTGAGACCATAGAAGCGACTTCTTCTGAGTCTGAGACTGTTCCACTCTGAGACAATGATGAAGCGACTTTCTGGAGTCTGAGACTGTTCTAACTCTGAGACCATGAAGCGACTTCTCTGAGTTTCTGTGGCTGTTCTAACTCTGAGACATGAAGCGGACTTCTCTGAGTCTGAGGACTGTTCCAACTCTGAGACCATGAAGCGACTTCTCTGAGTCTGAGACTGTTTCTAACTTGAGACCATGAAGCGACTTCTCTGAGTCTGACACTGTTCTAACTCTGAGACCATTGAAACGACTTCTCTGCGAGTCTGAGACTGTTCAACTCTGAGACCATGAAGCGAGATTCTTGAGTCTGAGGACTTGTTCTAATCTGAGAACCAATGAAGCGACTTCTCTGAGTCTGAGACTTGTTCCAACTCTGAGACCATGATTAGCGACTTCTCCGGAGTTCTGACACTGTTCTAACTTCTGCAGACCAGGAAGCGACTTCTTGAGTCTGAGACTGTTCTAAACTTGAGGAACATGAAGCGACTTATCTGAGTCTGAGACTGTTATAAATCTGAAGACCATGAAGCGACTTCTCAGCGTTCGACACTGTTCTAATCTGAGTCATGAACGCGACTTATTGAGTCTGAGACTGTTCCAACTCTGAGACCATGGAGCGACCTCTCTGAGTCTGAGACTGTTCCAACTCTTGAGACCATGAAGAGACTTCTCTGTAGTCTGACACTGTTCTAACTCTGAGACCATGAAGCGACTTCTTCCTGAGTCTGAGGACTGTTCAACTCTGAGACATGAAGCGACTTCTCTGAGTCTGAGACTGTTCCAAACTCTGAGACCTGAAGCGACTTCTCTGCAGTCTGAGACGTTCCTAACTCTGAAGGGACCATGAAGCGACTTCTCTGAGTCTGAGACTGTTCCAACTCTGACACATGACGCGACTTCTCTGAGATGACACTTTGTTCTAACTCTGAGACCATGAAGCGACTTCCTCTGAGTCTGAGACTGTTCCAACCTCTGAGACCATGAAAGCGACTTCTATGAGTATGAGACTGTTCCAACTCTGAGACCAGAAGCGCCTTCTCTGAGCCTGAGACTGTTCCACCCTGTGAACATGAAGCGACTTCTCTGAGTGCTGAGACTGTTCCAACTCTGAGACCATTGAAGCGACTTCTCTGAGTCTGAGACTGTTCAACTGTCTGATGGTGGTATTCTGGTTGTATTCATGGCTTTCTTTGTATCAGGGTATTGTAGTCTGATTCAGTCTGTCCACCTAGTCCAGTCCCGTCCATTCTAGTCCATTCAAAGTCAGTCCAGTCCAGTCCAGTCCATTCGAGTCCATTCAAGGTCCATTTGGTCCAGTCCAGTCATTCGTGACCAGTAGAGGTCCAGACCGCAAACAGGATCTGGAATCCTACCCTTCATCAAGCCTGATAATTTACAAAGAAGGAAGCTTTCATTCGTGCATCAACCCGCCTCCCCACCACCAGAGAGAGACCAGAGAGAGGCCAGAGGAGAGACAGAGAGAGACCAGGGAGTAGTAGAGACCAGCAGGAGACCGAGAGAGACCAGAGACCGTGAACCAGGAGAGAGACCAGAGAGAGACCAGGGAGACGGACCAGGGAGCGACCAGAGAGAGACATGAGAGGAGCCAGGGAGAGACCAGAGAAAGACCAGAGAGAGCCAGGAGAGAACAGAGAGAGACAGAGAGAGACCAGGGAGGATGCAGAGAAAGACCCAGAGGAGAGAGGACCCGAGAGAGACCAGGGATGAAGAGACCAGGAGAGAGACCAGAGAGAGACAGGAGAGACCAGGGAGAGACCAGAGGACGAGACCATGATAGAGACAGCAGAGAGACAGGGAGAGGACCAGAGAGAGAGGCCCGAGAGAGACCTGGAGCGAGACCCGAGAGAGTCCCAGAGAGAGACCAGAGAGAGACCAGGGAGAGACCGAGAGCGACCAGGAAGAGACCGAGATAGACCAGAGAAGACCAGGGAGAAGGAGACCAGAGAGGAGACCAGGGGAGGAGAACAGGGAGAAACCAGAGAGAGCCAGCAGATGATGAGACCAGAGAGACAGAGAGAGACCAGAGAGAGACCAGGGATGAGGACCAGGGAAGATCCAGAGAGAGACCAGGGGAGAGACCAGGAGAGAGACAGGAGAGAGACCGAGAGAGACCAGAGAGAACAGAGAGAGAACAGAGAGCCATGAGAGACCAGAGAGAGACGGGACGAGACCAGAGTAGGATACAGTGAGCGAACCAGATAGAGACAGAGAGAGACCAGAGATGAGACCAGAAGAGATACCAGAGAGAGATCAGGGAGAGACCAGAGAGAGAGACCAGGGAGAGACCAGAGAGATACCAGCGAGAGGCCAGAGAGAGTACCAGAGAGTTGAGACAAGAGAGATACCAGAGAGAGACAGGAGAGACATGAGAGAGACCTGGGAGAGACCAGAGAAGAGACAGGGCAGTTAGAGACCAGAGAGTGACCAAGGAGACCCGGGAAGAAACCAGAGAGAGACAGACAGAGAGACCAGACAGAGACCAGAGAGGACCAGAGAGAGGACCAGAGAGAGACAGGGGAGAGACTAGAGAGGAGCCAGAGAGAGACCAGGGAGAGACCCGGAGAGATACAGAGAGTACCAGAGATGAGAACACGAGAGAGTCAGAGAGAGCCAAGAGAGAAGAGCAGAGAGATACCAGAGAGAGATCCGGGAGAGACCAGAGAGAGACCAGGGAGAGACCAGAAAGATACCAGAGAGAGACCAGAGAGAGGCCAGGAGGAGAGACAGAGAGATACCAGAGAGAGACCGAGGGAGAGACCAGAGAGAGACCAGGGGAGGCGGACCAAGAGGAGACAGAGAGAGACCAGAGAAGAGACCGAGATGGACCGACGAGAGACCAGAGATGGGACCAGAGAGACAGGAGAGACAAGAGAGATACAAGAGAGAGAGCCCAGAGAGAGGCCAGAGAGGATACCAGAGATGAGATCAGGGACGTGACAGAGAGAGACCAGGGACCGGAGAGACAGAGAGTATACCAGAGAGCGACCGAAGAGGAGGCCAGGAGAGCCCGAGGAGATACCAGAGAAAGACCAGGGACGAGGGACCAGAGGAGAGACCGGGATGAGACAGAGAGAGACAGAGCATGGGACCAGAGAGAAGGCCAGAGAGAGACCAGAGAGATACCAGAGAGAGCCCGGGAGAGACCAGAGAGAGACCAGGAGAGACCAGAGAGAGACCAGAGAGAGACCAGAGAGAGACCAGAGATGGACCAGAGAGGAGGACAAGCGAGAGAGGACCTGTGAGAGAGACCAAGAGAGAGACCAGAGAGAGACCAGAGAGAGAACAGAGAGAGACCAGACGAGAGACCAGAGATGGACCAGAGAGAAGACAGAGACGAGCCAGAGAGACCAGGAGAGAGACCAGAGACACCGAGAGCGAGACCAAGAGAGACCGGAGAGAGGAGAGAGGACAAGCTGGAGACAGCCGTTGTGGACTACCGACCTGTCCCAGTGGAATCCTGGACTACCTCACAGACAGACCCCAGCTTTGTGAGACCAGGGACTTTGTGTCTTGAGGTCCTGACCTGCAGTGTGGGGGCCCCCAGGGGATTTCAGACACAACTACGGTCGGTTGTGTCCTCCAGAAGTTCCTTCCAACGACTCTGCCCTCATCGGACTCGCTCGGAGGACGATTGACACCGAGTACGAGGAGTTTATACAGTACTTTGTGGACGAGAAAGAACAAGGAGATGAACCACGCTCCTCATCAACAGAAGACCAAAGGAAGGTGAACCACCTCCATCAACGAAGACAAGGAGATGAAACACTCCTCATCAACAGAAGACCACAGGAGGATGAACCACCTCCTCATCAACAGAAGACAAGGAGAGAACCCCTTCCTCATCAAAGAGACCAAGGAGATGAAACCTCTCATCAACAGAAGACCAAGGACGATGAACACCTCCTCATCAACAGAAGACCAAGGAGAGAACCACCTTCTCATCAACAGAAGAACCAAGGAGATGAACCACCTCCTCATCAACAGAAGACCAAGGAGATGAACCACCTCCCTCATCAAAGAAAAGACCAAGGAGAGAACCACCTCCTCATCAACAGATTGACCAAAGGAGAAGAACCACCTCCTCATCAACAGAAGACCAAGGAGATGAACCACCTCATCATCACAGAAGACCAAGGATGATGAAACACCTTCTCATCAACAGAATGGCCAAGGAGGAAGAACCACCTCCTCTATCAACGTGAGGAAGGACAAGGAGATGAACCACCTCCTCATCAACGCGGGGAAAAGACTAAGGAGATGAACCACACTCCTAATCAACGCGGGGAAGACTAGGAGATGAACAACCTTCCTCATCAACGTGAGGTAAGACCAAGGAGATTGGTGGGGGGTTTTCCGCAGACGTCCTATGCCGCTCCAGCTCCAGTGACATCCCGGGATACAGGACATCGATAGATTTGGACTCTTACAAAGTACCTGGGTGTTCATCTGAACACAAACTAGGACTTGTAGTCATACCAGCACGCCCTCTCAAGAAGGGCCGAGCGCATCTACCTGCTGAGGAGGCCCTCAGGTCTTTAGGAGTGCAGGGGACACTCCTGAAGAACTTCTTGATCTGTGGTGGAGCCTCTTGTACGGTGAGGTCTGCTGGAACGCAGCATCACAGGAGAGGGACAGGAAGAAGCTGGTCAAGGTCATCAGGGAAGTCCGCTCGAGTCCTGGGCGTGTACCTGGACACAGTTGCAGCAGGTGGGCGGACAGGGAGGGTCCTGAGCAAAACTAAACATCTATGCTTGACCATGACTGTCGACCCCCATGAGGACATCTCTAAGCTCTGGAGAGCAGCTTAGTGACAGACTATTCACCCTGCTGTGTGAAGGAGAGGTTGACAGGTCTTCTTCCCTGCTGCTGTCCAGACAGTACCACAACGAGAATGTGCAACAGGAACTGCTAATCTGTCACTGATAGTTCACTATAACTTTGTCACTAGTCACCTTTACCTGTTTTCCGTACTACCTGTATTATTACAGATCTGATAATTCTGCCTTTCACCGTCACTTTACCTGTGCTATTTTGTCGATGCTTATTGCTCAGATTCATATTCTCCGCTGCTAAAGTACAATCTATACATCTGTATAATAATCCTGAACCAAGTGCAGTAATAGCCCCAAAGTTTATTTATCTTATCTTAATTTTATTGTCTATTGTCTTATACATTAGACTATTTGAATGTGTGCCATCAGGTGCTCTTATGTCCTCTCTCCTGCTGATATGTTGCAACGATGACACTGACATTTCTTCCACATGTGAGGACTATATAAAATGGTTTATCTTATCTTCAGAGAGATGAGAGGAGACCCAGAGAGAGAGAGCAGAGAGAGAGACAGGGAGGAGAGAGAGGTGAGACCAGAGGAGAGAGAGCAGAGAGACTGAGACCAGAGGAGAGCAGAGAGGAGGACCGTGCAGAGAAGACCGCGAGAGACGACCCAGGGAGTTAGAGAGGCTGAGCGGAGACAGAGAGACCGAGACCAGAAGAGAGACCAGGGAGGGAGAGCAGAGAGAGAGAGACAGAGAGAGACTTAGAGACCAGAGAGGAGAGTACCAGAGAGAGAGCACGAGACGAGACAGAGAGAGAGACCAGAGAGAGAGACCAGAGAGAGAGACCAGAGAGAGAGAGACCAGGGGTTAGAGAGACCAGGGAGCGAGAGCAGAGAGCGAGCAGCGAGAGAGCAGAGCGGAGAGAGCAGAGAGAGACACAGAGAGAGCCGGGAGATGAGAGCAGAGAGAGAGCAGAGAGAGAGACCAGAGACGAGACCAGGGAGAGAGAGCAGAGAGAGAGACCAGAGAGGCGGAAAACAGAGAGAGAGCAGAGAGAGGCCATTAGAGAGAGAGACCAGAGGAGAGAGACCAGGTAGAGAGAGCAGGAGAGAGCAGAGAGAGAGCAGTAGAGAGAGAGAGCAGAGAGGTGACAGAAGTAGACAGGGAGAGAGTAGCAGAGAGAGAGCAGAGGAGAGAGCAGAGAGAGAGCATGAGAGAGAGAGCAGAGAGAGACCATGGAGGCCACACACACACTCTTCCCTGTGTGAGTTTTGGATCAGGGTGTTGTCACCTGCTGAATAGACCAGTGTGAGTTCTTTCCTTCATAACTTGAACCAAAACAGGTATGTGGTGAGAACAAAAACGCTTCCAGACTTTCCCTTGAGAGCTAGTACGGCCTTGGTTTCTCCTGGTCCCCCTCTCTCTTTCTCTCTCTGTCTCTCTCTCTGTCTTTGTCTCTCTCTCTTGTTCTCTCTCTGGGACTCACTATGGGTCTCTCTCCTTGGTCTCTCTTCTGGTCTCTCTCTGGACTCTCTTGGTCTCTCTCCCTGGTCTCTCTCTGGTCCTCTCTCTGCTCTCTCTCTCTCTGCTCTCTCTCTGCTCTCTCTTGCTCTCTTCTACTGGTCTCTCTCTCTGGTCTCTCTCTCTGGGTCTCTCTTGCTCTCTCTCTGGTTCCTCTCTTGGTATCTCTCTCTGCTCTCTCTCCCTGGTCTCTCTCTGGTCTTCTCTCTGCTCTCTCTCTGCTCTCTCTCCCTGGTCTCTCTCTGGTCTCTCTTGCTCTCTCTCCTCTGCTCTCTCTCAGTTCTCTCTGCTCTCGATCCTGGTCTCTTACCTGGTCTCTCTCTCTGGTCTCTCTCTCTGTCTCTCTCTCTGGTCTCTCTCTCTGGGGTCTCTCTCTGCTCTCTCTCTGGTCTCTCTCTTTGGTCTCTCTTCTGGTCTCTCTCTCTTGCTCTCTCACCTGGTCTCTCTCTGGTCTCTCTCTCTGCTCTATCTTGCTCTTCTCCCTGGTCTCTCTCTCTGGTCTTCTCTCGGTCTCTCTCTGCTCTCTCTCAGGTCTCTCTCTTGCTCTCTCTTCTGGTCTCTCTCCCTGGTCTCTATCTCTCTGCTCTCTCTTGTGGTCTCTCTCTCTTCTGAGATAAGATAAAACCTTTATTAGTCTCACAGTGGGAGAAAATGTCAGTGTCAATCGTTGCACATTACAGCTGAGAGAGGACATAAGAGCACTCAGATTGCACACATCAAATAGTCTATTGTTAAGACAATAGACAATAAAAATAAGATAAGAAATAAATAAATTTGGGCTCTAACGGCACTTGGTCTTCAGGAGTTGCTAACAGGATGTATATATGTACTTTAGCAGCGGGAATATGAATATGAGCAGAATAAGCTTCGTAAAAATATCAACGGTAAAGTGACGGTGAAAGGCAGAATTATCAGATCTGTAATAATACAGTAGTACTGATAAAGGTCAGTAGGACTAGTGACAAAGTGATAGTGAACTATCAGTGATGATTAGCAGTTCTGTTGCAATTCTCGTGTACAGTTGACAGCAGCAGGGAGAAGGACTGTCAACTCTCCTTCCACGCGAGGGTGAATTAGTCGCACTGAAGCTGCTCTCCAGAGCAGAGAGAGTGTCTGCAGGGGGCGACAGTCATGTCCGCATAGATGTTAGTTTGCTCAGGACCTCCTGTACACCACCTGCTGCACTGTGTCAGGGAAAGCCAGGACTGAGTGGACTTCCTGAATAACCTTGTCAGCTTCTTCCTGTCCCTCTCTGTGATGCTGCTGTTCAGAGACCACACCGTACAAGAGATACACCACAGAGTAATAGAGGTCGTCAGGGTGGCCCCTGCACTCCAAAAGGACCTGAGCCTCCTCAGCAGGTAGAGGCGGCTCAGGCCTTCTTGAAGAGGGCGTCTGTGTTATGACTCCGTCCAGTTGTGGTTAAGATGAACACCCAGGTACTTGAAGAGTCCACTCCTCTCGATGTCCTTTCCTGGTTGTTCTGGAGCTGGAGCGGCAGAGTGGACGTCTGCGGAAAACCACACCATCTCCTTGGTCGTCCTCACGGTGATGAGGAGGTGGTTTCATCTCCTTAGTCTCCCGCGTTGATGAGGAGGTGGATTCATCTCCTTAGTTTCCGCGATGATGAGGAGGTGGTTATCTCCTTGTCTTCCTCACGTTGATGAGGAGGTGTTCTTCTCCTTGGGCCTTCTGTGATCGAGAGGTGGTTCATCTCCTGGTCTTCTGTTGATGAGGAGGTGGTTCATCTCCTTGAGTCTTCTGTTGATGAGGAGGTGTTGTTCTCCTTGTCATCTGTTGATGAGGAGGTGGTTCTTCCTCCTTAGGTCTTCTGTTGATGAGGAGGTGGTTCATCTCCCTTGGTCTTCTGTTGATGAGGAGGTGGTTCATTCTCCTTGGTCTTCTGTTGATGAGAAGGTGGTTCATCCCCCCCCCTTGGTCTTTCTGTTGATGAGGAAGGTGGTTCATCATTTCCTTGGTCTTCTGTGATGAGGAGGTGGTTCATTCCTTGGTCTTCTGTTGATGAGGAGGTGGTTCATCTCCTTGGATCTTCTGTTGATGAGGAGGTGGGATCATCTCCTTGAGTCTTCTGTTGTGAGGAGGTGGTTCATCTCTTGGTCTTCTGTGATGAGAGGGGGTTAACCGCCTTGGTCTTCTGTTGATGAGGTGGTGGTTCATCTCCTTGCGTCTTTTCTCGACCACAAAGTCCTGTTATAACTCCTCTCGTACTCTGTGGTCATAGTCCTCGGAGCTGAGTCCGATGATGGCAGAGTCGGTTGGAGAACTTCTGGAGGACACAACCGACCGTGTTGTGTCTTGAAGTCCCCTGGGGGGCCCCACACAGCCGGTCAGGGACCTCAGACACAAAGTCCCTGGTTCTCACAAACTGGGGTCCTGTCTGTGGAGGTAGTCCAGGATCCATGGGGACAGGTCCGTAGTCCAAACGGCTGTCTCCAGCTTGTCTCTCTCGGTCTCTCTTTGGTCTCTCTCTGGTGTCTCTGGTCTCACTCTGGTCTCTCTGGTCTCTCTCTGTCTCTTCTCTGGTCCATCTCTGGTCTTCTCTGGTCTCTATCTGGTCTCTTCTTGTCTATTCTCTTGTCTCTCTTGTCTCTCTCACTGGTCTATCTTAGTCTCTCTCTGGTCCATCTCTGGTCTCACTCTGGTCTCTCTTGGTCTCTCCCTTCTGGTCTCTCCTGGTCTCTCTCTGGTCTCTCCCTGGTCTCTCTCTGGTATCTCTCTGGGTCCTGTCTCTCTTTGCCTTCTCCTGGTCCATCTCTGGTCTCTCTTGGTCTTCCCTGGTTCTCTATGGTCTCTCCCTGGTCTCTCTCGTATCTTCTCTGTCTCTCTTGGCCTCTCTCAGGTCTCTTCTGTGTATCTCTCTGGTCTCTCCCTGGTCTCACTCTGGTCTCACCCTGATCTCACTCTGGGCCCCCCCCCCCCCCCCCCCCGCCCCCCCCCACCCCCCCCCCCCCCCCCCCCCCCCCCCACCCCCCCCCCCCCCCGTGGGGTCTCCCACCCCCCCCCCCCACCCCCACCCCCCCCCCCACCCCACCCCCCCCCCCCCCCCCCCCCCCCCCCACACCCCCCCTCCCCCCCCCCACACTTGGGTGGCTATCTCTCTGGCCTCTCTTGGTCTCTCTCTGGTATCTCTCTTGCTCTCCCTGGTCTCTCTGGTTCTCTCTGGTCTCTCTCTGTTCCATCTCTGGTCTCTCTCTGGTCTCTCTCTGGTCTCTCTCTGGTCTCTCCCTGGTCTCTCTCTGGTCTCTCCCTGGTCTCTCTCTGGTATCTCTCTGGTTTCTCTTGGCCTCTCTCTGGTCTCTCTCTGTATCTCTCTGGTCTCTCCCTGGTCTCTCTCTGGTCTCTCCCAGATCTCTCTTATGGTAACTCTTGGTCTCTCTCTGGTCTCTCTTGGGTCACTCTCTGGATCTCTCTCTGGTATCTCTCTGGTATCTCTCTGGTCTTCCTGGTCTCTCTCTGGTTCTCTCTCTAGTCTCTCCCTGGTCTCTCTCTGGTCTCTCTCTGGTCTCTCCTGGTCTCGTCTGGTCTTCTGTTGGTCTCTCTCTGGTTTCTCCCTGGTCTCTCCTTGGTCTCTTCTTGTCTCTCCCTGGTCTCTCTCTGGTCTCTCCCCCGGTCTCACTCTGGGTTCCCCTGGTCTCTCTCTGGTTCTCTTGGGTCTCTCTCTGGTCTCTCTCTGTTGCCTCTCTCTGGTATCTCTCTGTTCTTCTCCCTGGTCTCTCTCTGGTCTCTCCCTGATCTCTCTCTGGTATCTCTCTGTCACTCTATGGTCTCTCTCTGGTCTCTCTTGGTCTCTCTCTGGTATTCTCCTCTGGTCTTCCCTGGTCTCTCTCTGGTCTCCTGCTGGTCTCTCTTGTCTCTCTCTTTTAGTCTCTCTTGTCTTCTTGGTGTCTTCTCTCTGTCTCTATTCTGTCTCCTCCTGGTCTCTATCTGGTATCTCTAGTCTCTCCTGGTCTCTCTCTGGGTCTCTCTTCTGGTCTCGCTGGTTCTCTATCTGAGTCTCTCTTTGTTTCTCCCTGTTCTCTCCCTGGTCTCTCTCTGGTCTCTCCCTGGTCCTCTCTCTGGTCTCTCTCTGTCTCTTCCAGGTCTCTCTTGGGGTCTCTTCCCTGGTTCCCCCCCCCCCCTCTGGTCTCTCTTGGGATTCTCTCTGGTCTCCTCCCTGGTCTCTCTCTGGCCTTCTCTCTGTCTCTCCTGGTCCTCTCTCTGGTCTCTCTCTGGTCTTCTCTGGTTCAGCCCTGGGTCTCTCTCTGGTATCTCTCTGGTCTCTCTTTGGTCTCTCCCCCCCCCCCATGGTCTCTATCTGGTCTCTCTCTCGGGCTTTTCTCTGGTCTTCCTGGTCCTCTCTCTGGTCTCTCTCTGGTCTCTCCCTGGTCTCTCTTGTCTTTCTCTTGTCTCTCCTCTGGTCTTCTCAGGTCTCTCTTGTCTCTCCCTGGACTCTCCCTGCGTCTCTCTATGGTCTCTCCCTGCGTCCTCTCTCTGGTCTCTCTCTGGTCTCTGTCTGGTCTCTCCTGGTCTCTCTCTGGTCTCTCTCTGGCCTCTCTCTGGTCTTCTCTGGTTGGTGGAGGAGGCGGTTGATGCACGAATGGAAAGCATTCCTTCTTGTAAATTATCGAGGCTTGATGAAGGGTGAGGAATTGACAGATCCGTTGCGGCAGCGACTCTACTGGACTCGAATGGACTGGACTGGACTCAAATGGACGTGAAGCGACTCGAATGGACTGGACTGGACTGGACTGGACTTGAATGGACTAGCATGGCGGACTGGACTAGGGTGGACTAGGATGGGACTCAGACTAAAGATCCTTGATACAAAGAAAAGCCTGACTACAAACCAGATACCACCTCAGAGTTGGAACAGTCTCAGATCTCAGAGAAGTCGCTTCATGGTATCAGAGTTGGAACAGTCTCAGACTCAGAGAAGTCGCTTCATGGTCTCAGAGATGGAAACAGTCTCAGACTCAGAGAAGACGCTTCATGGGTCTCAGAGAATTGGAACAGTCTCAGATCTGAGAAGTCGCTTCAGGGGTCCAGAGTTTGGAAACTCAGTCTCAGCTCAGTGAAGTCGCTTCATTGGTCTCAGAGTGTAGAACAGTGTCAGACTCAGAGAAGTCGGCTCATGGGTGTCAGACGTTGGAACAGTCTCAGACTCAGAGAAGTCGTTCATGGTCTCAGGGTTGACGTTCAGACTAGAGAAGTCGCTTTCATGGTTCAGGTTGGACAGTCTCAGACTAGAGAAGTCGCTTCATGGTATCAGAGTGGAACCAGTCTCAGACTCAGAGAAGGTCGCTTCATGGTCTCAGAGTTAGAACAGTGTCACGACTCAGAGAAGTCGCTTCATGGTCTCAGCGTTGGAACAGTCTCAGACTCAGAGAGGTCGCTTCGATTGTCTCAGAGTTGGACAGTTCAGACTCAGAGGGAAGTCGCATCATGGTCTCAGAGTTGACAGTGTCAGACTCAGAGAAGTCGCTTCATGGGTCTCAGAGTTAGAACAGTCTCAGACTCAGAGAAGTCGCTTCATGGTCTCAGAGTTAGAACAGTCTCAGACTCCGAGAAGTCGCTTCATGTCTCAGAGTTAGAACAGTGTCAGACTAGAGAAGTCGCTTCATGGTCTCAGAGTTGGAAACAGTCTCCAGAATCAGAGAAGTCGCCTTCATGGTCTCAGAGTGTAGAACAGTCTCGGACTCAGAGAAGTCGTTCATGGTCTCAGAGTTGGAACAGTCTCAGACTCAGAGAAGTCGTTCATGGTCTCTGAGTTAGAACAGTGTCAGACTCAGAGAAGTCGCTTCATGGTTCTCGAGTTAGAAACAGTCTCAGACTCAGAGAAGTCGCTTCCATGGTCTCAGGTTGGAACGTCTCAGACTAGAGAAGTCGCTTCATGGTTCAGAGATTAGAACATCTCCGATCAGAAGAGTCGCTTCATGGTCTCAGAGTTAGAACAGTCTCAGACTCAGAAAAGTCGCTTCATGGTCTCAGAGTTGGAACAGTCTCAGATCAGAGAAGTCGCTTCATGGTCTCAGAGTTAGAACAGTCTCAGACTCAGAGAGTAGCTTCATGGTCTCAGAGTTGGAACAGTCTCAGACTCAGAGATGTCGCTTCATGGTCTCAGGGAGAACAGTCTCAGGATCAGAGCATGTCGCTTCATGAGTCTCAGAGGTTGGAACCGAGTCTCAGGACTCAGAGAAGTCGTTCATGGTCTCAAGTTGGAAACAGTCTTGATCAGACGAAGTTCTCTTCATGGTCTCAGAGTTAGAACCAGTCTCAGACTCAGAGAAGTCGTTCATGGTCTCAGAGTTGGAACGGGGTTTTCCTTTCGACTCACAGTGGATCCTGAATTGTACTCACAAATGTTCATTTATTGAATATGTGAAAAATAATTGTATCAAGAACTTTGCAGATGGACTGGACTGGGATGGACTGATGGACTCGACTGTGCTGGACTTGGCTGGGCAGGACTGGACTGCGCTGGGCTGGGCAGGACTGAACTGGGCTGGACTGGACTGTGGCTGGGCTGGGACTTGCACACACACACAAAAACACTTGCTCTGTATGATTTTTATGTGTGTGGATGGTTGTTGATGATATTAGACTCTGTTAGAACGGGCCGAGCCATAACTAATAAAAGTTACCATGGAGCGGCTGAGGGCGTTGGTGAGAAACACCATCAACCCGGGACCAGGAGAGTCCGTGTCTCTCACTGGTGTTTATGATTCTAGTTCTTTGTGATTTTAATGTTTCTTGTTTGGGTTTTGAGTTGATCTTCCTGTATGAACTGTGGCCTACACAAATTAAACTTGCCTCAGGCCCTTCCTGCTCGCACTGAGAGAGGGTCAGAGACAGGACAAAGACTCTAGTCCCTCTCACTGGTCTCTCTCTGGTCTCTCCCTCGGTATTTCCATGGTCTCTCTCTGGTCTCTTTGGTTCCTCCCTGGTCTTTCCCTGGTCTCTATCTTGAGTCCTTCTCTGGGTCTCTATTGGCTCTCCTGGTCTTTCCCTGGTCCCTCTCTGGTCTCTCTTTCGGTTCACTCTCTGGTCTCTCCCTGTCTTTCCCTGGTCTCACTCTGGTCTCTATCTGGTCTCTCTCTGGTTCTCCCTGGTCTTTCCCTAGTCCTCTTTCTGGTCTCTCTCTGGTTTTCCTGGTCTCCTCTCTGGTCTCTCTCTCTGGTCTCTCACTTCTGTCCATATCAGCATATTCCCCCAAATGATAGGAACTCACTTGTTGCTCTCAGTGTGTGTGTGTGTGTGTGTGTAATGTGTGTGTGTGGCCTTCTAATCCAGTCCTGTGTGTTACTGTTGACATTTGTGCGTCTCCTCCTTCCTTTTGTGATGGGGCTGTTTTGTGCTGGATTAGCCACAATCTCCCAGCAGCACATTCAGCCACGAGTACTTTCACTTCAATCAATATTGGATGAAAGAGATTATAATCCGCGCGCACGAGAACAGACACACACACACACACGGACACACACACACACATACACACACATTTGACACGCACACACCACACGGACACACACACACACATGGACACACACACACACACACACACACACACTACACACATGACCACGCACACACACCGGCCAACACCACAATGGACACACACACAAACTCACAACACGACTCAACAAAACAATGCTCGGTTACCGAACATTTTAGGTTTTAGAATTGCAGTTTGAGAGAACTAGTCTCTTCTCTTGTCTCTCTCTGGTCACTTATCTGGTCTTCTCTCTGTCTCTCTCTCTGGTCTCTCTTGGTCTCTCTCTGGTCTCTCTATGTCACTCTCTGATCTCTCTCTGGTCACTTCTGGTCTCTCTTGGTCTCTGTCTGGTCTCTCTCTCTTGGTCTCTCTTGCGTCTCTGGTCTGGTCTCTCTCTCTGGTCTCTCTCTGGTCTCTCTCTGGTCTCTTTCTCTGGTCTCTCTCTGCGTCTCTCTCTCTGGTTCTCTCTCTGGTCACTCTCTGGTCTCTCTCTGGTGTCTCTCTGGTCTCTGTCTGGTCCTCTCTCTTCTGGTTCTCTCTCTGGTCTCTCTGGTCTCCTCTATGTCTCTCTTGGTCACTCTCTGGTCTCTCTCTGGTCTGGCTCTCTTGTCTCTCTCTGTCACTCTCTGGTCTCTCTCTGTTGTCTCTCTGGTCTCTGTTGGTCTCTCTCTCTGTCTCTCTCTGGTCTCTCTCTGGTCTCTCTCTCTGGTCTCTTCCTGGGTCTCTCTCTTGGTCTCTTATGTGTCTTCTCAGGTCTCTGTCTGGTCTCTCTCTCAGGTCTCTCTTGGTCTCTGTCTGGTCTCGTCTGGTCTCTCTTGGTCTGTCTTCTGGTCTCTGTCTGGTCTCACTCTAGTCTCTCTCTGGTCTCTTTGGTCTTCTCTCGGGACTCTCTCTGGTCTCTCTATGTCTCTCTCTGGGTCTCTGTTGGTCTCTCTTTCTGGTCTCTCTGGTCTCTCTCTGGTCTCTCTCTGGTCTCTCTCAGGTCTTCCTCTGGTCTCTCTCTCTGGTCTCTCTCTGGGTCTCTCTCTCTGATTCTCTCTGGTCACTTTCTGGTCTCTCTCTGGTCTCTCTGGTCTCTCTCCTTGGTCTCGCTTGGTCACTCTCTGGTCTCTCTCTGGAGTCTCTTGGTCTCTGTTGGTCTCTCTCACTGGTCTCTCTCTGGTCTCTCTGCTGGTCTCTCTCTGGTCTCTATCTGGTCTCTCTCTCTGGTCTCTCTTGGTCTCTCTCTGGTCACTGTCTGGTCTCTCTTTCTGGTCTCTCTCTGGTCTCTCTCTGGTCTCTCTCTCTGGTCTCTCTCTTGTCTCTGTTGGTCTCTCTGTTGGTCTCTCTCTGGTCTCTCTCTGGTCTCTCTCTGGTCATCTTTCTGGTCTCGCTGGTCTCTGTATCTGGTCTCTCTGTCAGGTCTCTCTTGCTCGCTCTCTGCGTCTCTCTCTTGGACTCTCTCTGGTCACTCTTCTGGTCACTCTCTGGCACTCTTGGTCTCTCTCTGGACTCTCTCTATGTCTCTCTCTGGTCACTCTCTGGTTCTCTCTCTGGTCACTCTCCGGTCTCTCTCTGGTCTCTCACTGGTCTCTCTCTGGTCTCCTCTGGTCTCTCTCTCTGGATCCTCTCTTCTGGTCTCTCTCTGGTCTCTCTCTGGTCTCTCTCTCTGGTCTCTCTTCTGGTCTTCTCTCTGGTCTCTCTTGATCACTTCTCTGGTCTCTTGTCTGGGCTCTCTCACTGTCCCTCCTGTTCTCTCTCTGGTCTCTCTCTCTGGTGTCCTCTCTGGTCTCTCTCTGGTCTCTCTCTGGTCTCTCTCTTGTCTCTCTCTGGGTCACTATCTCGTCTCTCTTGGCACAAAGAAAAAGTTTCCTTATGGCACCTGTCACTGTCCACTCGCTCTGTCGGCGCCTCGTAAATAAACTAAAACTATGGAATTTGAATGTAAATATACAACTTTACACACACAAACAACACACACACACCCAACACGCAAACACACACACACACACACACACCCCACACACACACACCACACACAACACACACACACACACACACTCACACACACCACACACTCACACACAAACACAATCGGAGCAGGGCTAAAAATACACTACAGAGGGACCGCGCCTGTGTTGCGTGTGTCTGTGTTGTGTCTGTGTGTGTCTGTGTGTCTTTTGTATTTTTTGTCTGTGTGAGTGTGTGTCTGTGTGTCTGTGTGTGTGTGTGTGTGTGTGTGTGTGTGTGTGTGTGTGTGTGTGTGTGTGTGTGTGTGTAACGTTGTATATTTACATTCAGAATACCATTAGTTTAGTTTATTACGATGCGCCGCAGAGCGAGGGGACAGAGGAAAGGTGCCATAAGGAAACTTTCTTTGTGCCAGAGGAGACTAGAAAGAGACCAGAGAGGAGACAAGCGAGAGGACCAGAGAGAGACAGAGAGGATACAGAGAGACACCAGAGAGAGAGACCAGAGAGAGAGAACAGAGAGAGACCAGTGAGTGAGCCTCAGACCGAGACCAGAGAGTGTTAAGAGAGAGCAGAGAGAGAGACAGAGAAGAGACCAGAGAGAGAGACCAGAGAGGACCAGAGAGAGACCAGAGAGAGTACCAGAGAGAGAGACCAGAGAGAGACCAGAGAGAGCCAGAGAAGAGACCAGAGAGAGACCGGAGAGTGACAGAGAGAAGACCAGAGAGTGACCAGAGAAGAGACCAGAGAGAGAGACCAGAGATGTGACCAGGAGACGGACCAGAGACCGTGACCAGAGAGTGGACCAGAGAGAGACAGAGAGAGACCCGGAGAGCGACCAGAGAGGAGACCAGAACAGAGAGACAGACAAGAGACCCGGCGAGAGTCCAGAAAGAGTGCAGAGAGAGACAGAGAGAGCCCAGAGATGAGAACAGACAGAGAGACCAAACAGAGACAGAGAGAGACCAGCGCGAGAGACCAGAGAGGAGACCAGAGTGAGACCAGAAGAGAGACCAGAACTAGCGAGACCAGCGATAGACCAGAGAGAGACCAGAGCGGAGAGACCAGACAGAGACATGAGAGAGGACCAGGAGAGACCAGAGGAGAGACCAGATGAGAGAGACCAGACAGAGACCAGAGGAGACACCAGAGAGCGACCAGATGAGTGACCAGAGAGAGGACCAGAGAGAGAGACAAGAGAGACCAGAGCTGAGACCAGAAAGGACCAGAGAGAGACCAGAGAGAGAGACCAGAGAGTAGACCAGAGAGATGACCGAAGCACGGACCAGAGAGAGACCGAGAGAGACCAGAGAGAGACCAGAGAGAGGACCGAAAGAGTGTGCCAGACAGAGACATGAGAAGAGACCACGACGAGAGACCAGAGAGTTAGAAGAGAGATTCAGAGGAGAGACCAGAAGTAGAGAGACCAGAGAGAACTAGAGTGAGGACCAGACAGAGACCAGCGAAGACCCGCGAGGAGACAGCAGATACCAGACAGAGACAGAGAGAAGACCAAGAGAGAGAGACAGGACAGCGACAGAAGAGACACCAGAGATGAAGACCAGAGAGAGAGACCAAGAGATGAGACCAGAGAGAGAGACCCCGAGAGGACAGAGACGAGACCGAGACGAGAGACAGGACCAGAGACCAGAGAGACAACAGAGAGAGACCAGAGGTGACCAGAGAGAGACCAGCGAGACAGACCCGAGAGAGACAGAGAGTGACCAGAGACGAGACCCAGACGAGAGAGACCATGAGAGACCAGAGTGAGACCAGAGTAGAGAGAGCAGGACAGAGCGAGAGACACCAGAGAGAGACCAGAGATGTGACCAGAGAGGACCAGAGAGTGAGACCC